CAGATATGTCCCTTCTCTACCTAATCTCTTCCAGGCTGTTTTTACTATGGAAGGATGTGGGGTTTTTGTTTTGTTTTATCTGTTAAAATAAGTCCACTTTTACCCTTTATTTTATTAAAATGGTGTCATACTATTTTGTCTATGTCGAGTTATCTTTACGTCCCAAGGATAAATTTCACTTGATCACGGTGACTTATTAATAATCACTTCCCCTTCCTTTCCCCTTCTTCCTCTGGCTCATGTACGCTTGACTTTTTAAAAAATATTTATTTATTTGTTATATATACAATATTCTGTCTGTGTGTATGTCTGCAGGCCAGAAGAGGGCACCAGACCTCATTACAGATGGTTGTGAGCCTCCATGTGGTTGCTGGGAATTGAACTCAGGATCTTTGGAAGAGCAGGCAATGCTCTTAAACCACTGAGCCATCTCTCCAGCCCCTACGCTTGACTTTTATTTGCAATATTTTGTTGAGAAATCTTGCATTTCTGTTCACTCATTAACTTTTATTTTTCATGTAGGTCCCTAGTCTGACTTTGGTACCAGGATAATGTTAACTTCAGAAATTTGTTTGGAGGTATTCACTTTAATTTTATGGAGGTTTGAGAATAATTAATTTACCTAACTCTTTTGTAGAATTTAGGAATTAAGCTGCCCAGTCCTGTGTGTTTCATTAGTGGGAGACTTTTTATTACTGATTGAATTTCCTTAGTAGGTCATGTGCATCTGTAGCAGGCTTCCTTTTGAGCCACCAACCAGCTCCCAAATCATGACACAGAGACTTATTATTAGTTATGAATGCTCAGCCTTAGGTTCATTTCTGCTAGCTCTTAGAACTTAACCTGTTTCTCTTCATCTACATTTTGCCTCGGGGCTTTTTTAACCTTTCTTTTTTTTTCTGTATCTTTTCTGCTTCTCGAGTCTGGATGACTGGTAACTGCCTGGCTTCTGACCCTGGACTTGTTAACCTCTTTCTCCCTCGTTCTCTTCTGCCCACCAGCCCCGCCTGTTCCTCTCTTGCCTAACTATTGGCTCTTCAGCTTTTTATTAGATCAATTGGGTGCCTTAGGTAGGCAAAGTGAGACAAATGCAACACATCTTCACATAATTAAACAAATGTAACACATCTTTACATTGTTAACAAAGGCAACAGAAATAATGTGACAACCTTCACATAGTTAAAGTCATATTCTGCAGCAGAAACAAATTTAACACATTTTTGCCTAGATCAAATAACATTCTATAGCATGTCTAGGAATGTATTGTTTTTCTGGATTACAGGATATGAAGCACATAGGAAGTATCGATAGGTACTTCTTACATGCTTGTGTGCCAGTGGTGTCAGCTATTCAAGAGCCAACACAAGGGCTGTCAAGCATGCTCAGTGTTTGCTTTGCACAAGCTTTGCACAAGCTTGGTGACCTGAGTTCATCCCCAGAACCCACTATGAAGGAGAGACCCAACTCCTGAGAGTTAGTCTCTGCTGACCTCTACACATGTTCTTTGGACTGGAGATAGATCATTGTTGGTGCTTGTCTGGCATGTACAATGCTTTGAGTTCCACACCCAGCACCACAAATAAAAAAATACCAATTCCCCTGAGAGACGTGGTGGGTAGTGGCTTGGAACTCACTAGGCCAGACTGACCTCAGGCTCACACATCTTCTGCCTCTGAGCCCTAGTGCTGGTTTGGGAAAACTGACCCTTCACTGATGAAGCTGAAGAGCAGCCAATAGGAAGACAGACATGAGACTCACTTGGCACATAACCACACTAGAGAACAAGTTAGTGAGTCTACTCTAAATAAAAATTAAATTGAATTCTCCTCAGTGGCAACTCCAGCTTCAGGAGGTCTAATGTCCTCTTCTGGCCTCCTCATATACCAGACAGCCTCACTCTTATGCACAGTCTCACATACATACATCCATACACCTAATTAAAAATAAGTGAAGAAAGCAACTTTTCTGGTCTGCTTTGGTTTTTTTTTTTTTAAGATTTATTTATTTATTATGTACACACTGTTCTGCCTGCATTCCAGAGGAGGGCACTGGATATCATTACAGACGGCTGTGAGCCACCATGTGGTTGCTGGGAATTGAACTCAGGTCCTCCAGGAAGAGCAGCCAGTGCTCTTAACCTCTGAGCCATCTCTTCAGCCCCCTGCTTTTGTTTTTGAAGTTGTCTTTTTATGTTTTATTTCCAAGCTCATCTCTTAACTCTCTCCTACTGCACCAGGTTTCTTCTTTATAACTAATCATAACTTTCTCAAAAAACTCATTTATTTCATTTTATTATTTATTTTACACTTATTTTATATTTATTATTTATTTCATTTTATTTAGAGCAGACTCATTAGCTTGTTCTCAGTGAGCACACTGCATTCATGTAATAGCTGGCAACCAGTATTCCAGACCCAGTGCTGGGGCGCAGAGGCAGAGGATGTGTGAGGAGGCCAACTTGGCCTACACAGCGAGTTCCAAGCCACTGCCCGCCATGACTCTTGGTTTTTCTTGTGGTGCTGGAGTTGGAACCCAGAGCCTTGTAAATGTCAGAGAAGATCCAATAACGAGCTATATCTCAGTTGACTGTTTCTAATCATACTAATTTTGAAAATTATTATTGTATTAGTTTGTGTCTTTATACATAAGTGTTCATGTGGAGGTCAGAGGACAGATCATGAGAATTAGTGCTTTCCCTCGGTCATGTGACTTTCAGGGATCAAACTCAGGCCATTGGGTATGGTGTCTTTATCTGCTGACCCCTCTGGTCTCAACTGTTTTATACTATTTCTATATGTGTCTTTAGTCCACTTTCTGTTTCTATAAGAAAATACCCGAGGTGGGTATGGATAAAGATGATTTTGTACTTGGCAGTTTTGGTGCCTGTGAAGGCTTCATGATGAGTGACGTCATTAACAGCAGCATGTGTGAGGCAGATTCATGGGGAGGCTCAGGAGCCAAGACTGCGCCTTTTAGAGAACTAAGAACTAACGCACTTTGTGAGACCAGCACTACCCACTTCCAAGCATGGTACCATTCTCTGTGGTCCCGTGCACTCCTAGAGGTTCCGTCACCTCACCAAGCACTGCATTCCTAGAACCAGCAATCTTCTATTTGCATTTCAACTCAGTGATCACTGAGCATAAGTGCTAGTGTCCTCTGCTGCAGAAGGAAGACACAGGCCGCACAGACAACATGTTTTCGTAGCTCAGAGCCAAATGGGATTCGCCTTTTATCTTTTTCTTTGTGTACACTTGAACAATGATCGACAGTAACTTTAGCATTTTCTTTTTTTGTGTGTGTATTTGGGTATGTGTGCATGTGTGCAAGTGCACACACCTGTGAGTGTGCAGAGTTTGGAGGAGGGTATTGGGTATCCTGCTGTTTCACCTTGTTTGAGACAGGGTCTCGCTGATCTTGGAGCTAGGCTGGTGGCCAGCAAGCCCCGGAGACCCTCCTGTCTCCACCCCTACAACACCGGAGTTACAGGCTTGCCTCACTTTTTACCTGGGATCTGGCTTGTACAGCAAGTGCTCTTACCTGCTGGGCCATCTCCCCAGCAATTTTAGCTTTTTCTAATACCTGTCCTTTTTATATACATTTAATGGCGTAGGTACTTTATTGCTTGTTTCAGCCCTTGTAGATTCTTGACTCTTCCTCAAATTCTACTTGTCATAAATTAACGTTTGACTTTCCTATTCCAGTGCCAGAGAAATGAAGAACTCTCTGCCCCTAGCACCTTCCTCATCTCACATATCCTCAGTGTATGTTAGACAGGCATTTTCTGTTAGTTGTGAAAGGTTCCTATAGTCTGGATTCTGCCAAAGTTAAATTTTCATTGCCTCCTGGCTTAGCCAGGTACTACAGTGCAGGAAGAGTGTGTGGAACTTTCAGTGAATTGCTTGCTTTATAGTGAGAGATAATTCTAGGAAGTTTAAATCTTGAAATTCCGTAACACATCAGATTACTCACCCTTTACTTGACATGTTAACGATGAACACAGAGAGGGGAATGGCCATTTGCTTCTTTGGCAGTTTCTTGGAAAGAAGATGTATATAGTATGAGATCACAGAAGGCTTTTCCCTAGCAAGGAACTGTAGCTGTGTGTTGACCCACATAAACATCCTCAGTTTTAACTCTGTTTATCTCACTTTTCTGAGGACCAGCAATAGGCTCTTCACAGAGCAGTCACTGTCCATCATCTAGTGGGTGGCAGAGTCTACCTGGGTAGCTGGAAGCCTTCTGTTTTCCACTGTGGTTCTAACCTTAGTCTAGAACCCTTCCTCTCATTTGCAGCTGTCTCCAGGTGTCACACTAAGTCTCCCTCCCTGATGGTCAGCTGCATGCATACCTTCAGACCACTCTTCACAGTGGCCCATTGGTGTGACTGCTCAAAGAGTTCACACCATAATACCCTTGTCTTAGTTTGGGTTTCTGTTGTTGCGATGAAATACCCGCCCCCAACAAAAAATAAGTTGGGGAGGAAAGGGTTTATTTGGCTTATGCTTCCACATCTCAGTTCCTCATCAAAGGAAGTCAGGACAGGAACTCAAGCAGGAACATGGAGGCAGGATGTGATGCAGAGATCATGGAGGGGTGCTGCTTACTGACTTGCTCATCATGGCTTACTCAGCTTGCTTTCTTACAGAACCAAGGACCACTAGTTCTGGGATGGCACCAACACAATGGGCTGGACACTCTCCCATCAATCACTAATTAAGAAAATGCCCTACAGGCTGGGTACAGCCTGGTTTATCGAGGCATTTTCTTAATTGAGGTTCCTTCATCCTAGATGACTCTAGCTTGTGTCAAGATGACATGAAACTAGCCAGCACACCTAGGTGGGACTTAGTTTCAAAGAACGACCTCTCAGCCATCTAGCACAGTAATATATCATAAAGACTTGGTAGTCTACCCACTAGAGCAGTTCTGAGCTGGGCTCTCTTCATTCCACATTCTGTCTTTTGACAGTCCTGGCTGATGCAGCTTTTCCTTTTCAGCGGTCCTAAGAGTAGCTGGTTCCCTGCAGAAGAGCACAGAAGTGATGAAGGCTATGCAGAGTCTTGTGAAGATCCCAGAAATCCAGGCCACCATGCGGGAGCTGTCCAAAGAGATGATGAAGGTGATTGTGCTGGTTCTGCTTTGTCTCCAGACCGCTGAGAGGTCTTCTGAGCTGGGGCTGGGGCTGGGGCTGGGGCTGCATGGATGGGACTGGAGAGAGTACGACTGCTCCCCCAAGTGTTTTGAGAAAAGGAACAGATGTTGTTATCTGCTTGAAACCATTTTTGTGCAAGCATAGCAGAGGCTGGGTGGAATTGTGAGTGTTCGGAAGAAGCACAGCTTGCCTAGATCTCAAGAAGGGACCCATCCAGTGATGGGTTCTGTGGGCTCCAGCAGGAGGGAAGAGACAAACACCTTTTCACTGTCTGCTCTGAAGGCATTAGTGAAGCTGGCAAGGGAGGTGATTTCATTCTCTACAGTGTTAGATAGCAAAGTGCATGTTACACTTTGATGGTCATTCTTGTAACCCCTCAACTTTAACTGTCATTGTAAAAGCAGCCCTAGATAGCATTTAAACAAAGTAACTGTGGCCCAAATCCTTTGTTTAGGAAACACCAGATCTGGCCTGCAGACTACAGTTATTTATGCCTATTTTAACCACAAAAAGGAGAGGCTGAGAACCAAATGGAAAGTATATAGGCACCTGCCACCCTAGGATAAGGGTGTGGCAGTAACTACACTATGGGTCCCCAGACAGGGCCAGGGATCCGAGGAGGGATTGCTGCTGAACCACAACTGATAGGACGTAGCATTTGGGCCTGTCTTGTTCTCCAGGTGCTCTCTTGGGGTATTTTACACAGGACATTGAGTTTTAAAGCTACCAGGCAACCCAAGATCTCTTGGATTATAAGTAAATCTGGAGCTGTACACAGGTGTGTCTGCCCTCATCATCTGAGCTGACATCTTGTATGAGTGCTGTTTCTTAGTTTAGACTTGTGGTCTGATAACCAAGAGTCTGCTGCTCAAATTCCTGTGTGTGGATCTCCTCCTACCTACCAGACGATCTTATTTGTGAATGTGAACCATACCCTGGGCACTGAGGGGAGCCAGCAGGGGAGTGCAGAGGCTGGAGAAGAACAGATAGGAAAATATCGTAAAAGGCCAGAGCCCTTGGTCAGTAGCAGTTAACAGGGTCAGGCGTGTCCTTTATATCTGGTATGTACTCAGACTGGAGATTAGAGGTGGATGATGGGCTCCAGGCCTGCACATTTTAACTTAGGTGGCCACCAAAATTTGAGTGAATGAATTAGTAAAACAAAAAAATCCTCTAAGCTCCTTTCACAGTGGTTTATGAACATTAAAGTTTGTTTTGAAGGAAGCTTGTGTATTGTAGATTCTAGGGACTGAGTGCTAATAGTGATGCATTATCGGGTGTATATTGAGGCTGCTCATGGTGACCCAGCTCTGAAAGAGCGGGGACATGTTCTTAGACTTTGCATTTGTCCCCAGTACCTTGCTCTGTTGTCTGTGTCAGGAATTAGATGAATGACTGAATGAACCAATAGTTGATGATACCCTCTCTCCAGAAGGAGGAGGGCTGTTACAAGTTCTTTTAACCAATCAACAATTATTTATTGATCCTCTTTTTGTTTGAGTATTTGGTTTTACTTGGTCTGTGGGGTTTTGTTTTGTTTGAGACAGGCTACAAACAGTCGTCATGCCCCAGCCTGTCAAGTGCTGTTTGTTCAACAGTAGACTCCAGCATCAAAATAGCTTCAGTTCCCTAGGCTATAGGGCTCCGCCTTGATGACCATGATATGAGCTTGTGCATGGGGTAGGGAAAGGGGCTCAAACTGGGCTAGCCACTAACTTGATCTATGTCATGGAGAGTCACCTCAGGTCGGGAAACACAAGGACTAGAAGGTAAGTGATTTGTTGGGACAGGGCAGAGGCCAGAGCTGTCACTGTCACTGCTCCAGGCTGTAGAAAGGAGCTATACCTCTTGGTTTGTAGAATACTAGGGTTCCCTTCTGGCCTTTTGTCTGGGACCCCTTTCTGACATGGGAGGGTGCTTTTCTGATCCTTTGCTCTGCTAACAGACACCAAGTGGCCTCCTTGGGGACACTGTTAAGCAGGACAATGTCAGGGCTTTGGAGAGCCTTTTGTTTGTGCCTCACAATGGTCCCTTGCTATTTTCTTTTTAAAAAGTGTGTGTTTGCATACATGTGCATATGCATGTACATGTGTAAACACTGTTCCATGATATACTGTTGCATGATACACATTCACATGGATGTGAGCTGTGTGCATGTGGAAGCAGAGGTTAGTGTTGGGTACCTTCCTCTATACTTTCCACTTGTTTTTGAGACAGACTCTCTCTGAACTTGAAGCTCACCAGTCCAGCCAGTTAGCTTCAGAGACCACCCTGCCTCTGCTAAAACACCCTCCCTCCCTGCAGTGCTGGGTACAGATGTGGGCTGTCAATGCCTAGCTCTTTAAGTGGGTGCTGGGCATTTGGAAAGGTCCCCAAGCTTTTGTGGCACTTTATCAACTGAGGCATCTCTTCACCTCCTTGCTTCTTTCTGAAAAAGAAAGCTGAGTCAGGCTGCCAGTCACAGACTTCCAGTAATATGACTGACCTTGCTTTGTAGGTCAGGAACTCTTGACTTCCTGTAAGAGAGGTGAACAGGGTTTGGTGATGGATTGATACAGCACACCCACCCACCAGATTAACCTTACCAGCAGCTGTGACCTGCCATGCTGGATTTTTTTTTTTTATAGCATTTTCTGGATTCCCTCTCTGCTCACGCCTTTGTTATCCTGTTGTCTCCTGTGCCTCCGACCAGTTTCATCCTGTTTCAGCCCTTACCCTCTCAGGTCGTATTTGCTGTGTTAGGGCAGTGCTTTCCCAGCAGCTCAAGGGTGTGCTCCTGAGTCTGCTGCCGTAGGAACTGCTACCAGTAGCTGCAGCCTCCAGTCCTGTGAATTGAGAGCACTGTTTCCCTTTGGGTCCTCTTCTGCCATTTCCTTTCCACGGACTCACTTGTCGCCTGGGAAAGGTGGACTAGACTCAGCGAGACCACAGCTCCCTCTGGGTGCTGTCTAGGGGTGCTGGGAACACATGTAACATTGAGCGATATGGCATTTTCTTGTCTATTCAGGCTGGAATCATAGAGGAGATGTTAGAGGATACATTTGAAAGCATGGATGATCAGGAAGAAATGGAAGAAGCAGCAGAAATGGAGATTGACAGAATCCTCTTTGAAATCACAGCAGGTATGGGCTTTCCTCCCACAGGCTGTCAACACTGGCTACTGCATCTTTCCTCTATAGGAATGTGCAAGGTACTTCTTGAGGGATGGGCAGTAAAAGGATGTCCAGTTTTCAAGGAACAGAAGATTCTTAGTTTCTGATTTTCATAATAGCTGAAAACAGCTGTTAGGAATTTGAGTTCGTATAGACCTGACTTTAGTATAAACCATGTCTGTGTTGAACATAGAGATAAACAAAAATAGTTATTTCTAGGAACTTCATAACTTTTTAATTCTGAGTTTTCTGAATTTTATACTAATAAAATGGTGGGATTTTATTTTTATTTTGCTTTAAATTGTTGGGAGAAGGAAGGTATTTTGAGAAAGTAGTTTGTGAAAATTTGGAAATAGTTTAGATTTTTGTTTATTTATTTATTTGGTTTGTTTTGGTGTTTGAAGTGTCTCGCTTTACAATCAATCCACTGTGGTCTTAGACACTCTTCTTGCCTAACCTGGAAAACTGGATTACAGGTGTTTACCCCACACCTGGCTGGGACTGGATTACAGGTGTTCACCCCACACCCGGCTATGACTGAATTACAGGTGTTCACCCCACGCCTGGCTAGAACTGGATTATAGGTGTTTACCCAACACCTGGCTATGACTGAATTATAGTTGTTTATCCCATACTTGGCTAGGACTGGATTACAGTTGTTTACCCCATACCTGGCTAGGACTGGATTACAGATGTGCACCCCATACCTGACTAACAATGTGGTTGTTTGCCTTTGGTTTCTTTGGCACTGGGGACTGATCCTGAGGCCTCCTGCACATGAAACAAGCATTCTACTGCTGAGCTGTACTCCCGGCCTTCATTTTGAGATAGGGGCTCATTAAGTTGCCCATGCTGCCCTTGAACTTACTCTGTAGTGTAGGTAAACCTTGTTTTCTATCATCCTGTCTCAGTTTCCCAGTTAGCTGAGATTAGAGACCTGTGTCATCCAGTCTGGCTTCAACAATTAAAAAATGAGATTTTCAGTAGTATTTGGGAATTTAAATTAGGAGCTTCAGAGTTATGACATTTTTACTTTATTTTTTGAGATGAGGTCCCACTATTTTGCCTAAAATGGCCTCAAAATCCTGAGCAAAAGTAACAAGTATGTGGACTCACGTTTACATTACCATGTCCAATTTTCTTTCTTCTTTTTTTTAAATATTTTTTATGGTTTATTTAACTTTATTTTATGTGCATTGGTGTGAAGGTGTCAGATCCCCTGCAACTGGATCTTCAGACAGTTGTGAGCTGCCATGTGGGTTCTGGGAATTGAACCCTGGTCCTCTGCAAGAGCAGTCAGTGCTCTTAACCACTGAGCCATCTCTCCAGCCCGCCCAATTTTCTAGAAATTAAAATTCTTATGATTTGGGGTGGATATGGATTACTACTGTAGTAGTAGCTACTTGGGAGCCTGAGGCTGGATCCCTCAAGGGCAACATAACAAGTCCATCTGTCCGTCTGCACTGTTCTTGCTCTCAGCTGTGATGTGCATTGTCAGAGGAAGCAAATTCCCACTCTGACAGCAGCTCCATTGCCTCGGTCCTCGGACAAGAGGAGGCTGGGAAGGCCGAGGAACTGTTCTTATGTAGTGTGTTCTAAGCTCTTCACTCTCTCTTCAGGAGCCTTGGGCAAGGCACCCAGTAAAGTAACTGATGCCCTTCCTGAGCCTGAACCTTCAGGAGCGATGGCTGCCTCAGAAGAGGGAGATGATGAGGAGGATGAAGAGGACCTGGAGGCCATGCAGTCCCGGCTCGCCACACTCCGAAGTTAGGGCCACCCAGTTGGGGCCTCAACTCTTTGGTGCCCTCCTCTAGGTGTGGGCACAGCCTCTGAGGAGTCACCGTTTCCTGTATCTCTTGCACTACACCTCTGCTGTGAAGCATTGCATTTTGGAGAGGGTTCTGTGCTAGTATATCTTCACTGTCGGCAGAGGATTTAAGGATTGTTTTTATGAAAGTGGTGTAATCAAATGCATCATTTTCAAGAGCATAAATAGTAGAAGTATCTTCCTTGGGGGAGGGCAAAGAAATCCATTTTCTCATGAAGCAATTCTGAGAGGAGTCAATTGAATGTTGACAACTCTCTGCTGGTGTGTGTGTAAAATACTACTTAAGTGGATGTCAATAAACTTCTGCTTTAGCTCTTGGTCTCACTGTAAATGTCACATGCAGTCAACTCAAGGTGTTGATCTCCCAGGTGATGTCCCAGTGTTGGCCCTGGAAAGAGGGAGTGCCAAGCCATTGCCAGGCATCAGAACATGGGAGCTCAGCAGAAGTGCCTTCTGCTCTGCAGCCTGGTCCTAATCTTCACAGGCAGGGCTTGGGGGCCACACTTGTGCGCTTGTCATCCCTTTAACATATGGATGTTGGTAATGCGCTGTGTTGGCTGGGGACCATGTCACACACTGGCGTATGCATGGGGAATCTTTGCAACTGCTAGGCATTCTCCCCACAGCAAGGTCGTGCAGAGCAGACAGCACTGGGATCGGGACTCTTACACCCCATTCTTGCTTGGAGCCAAGTGTCTTGCGTACAGGGACATAGCCTAACCTTAAATACCAAGAACTAACCAGCAAGAAGCTTTGGTTATACATTAAACAGGACATGCTTTAGATGCATTGAGAAGCAACTTGGCAGTTGCACTGTGTGTCTGAGACAGTTTGAAAAGCTCTTTGGCATACACGGTCTCATTCAGACCTCACAGATGGGAACAGCTGTTTGCTGAAGTCACGAACACTAATGTACAGTGTTGTGTCTCCACCATTATTGTGGCACAGAATGGCCTTGCTACCCACAAGCAATCCTATGCATTCTGTGCATCCCCTCCTTTCTGATCCCTTGGCCTGTTTACTGCCTCCATGGGTTTTCCTTCTCCAGCCTTCCAGACCATCTTCCTTCATGTGGTCATAGGCATTTGAATTTCCTCTGTGGGTTCATGACTTGATCGTTTAGCTCTTCTCATTGAGCAGCATTCTGCTTTCTGGGTGTACCACAATTTGTCCTGAAGGGCATCTGGACTGGCTCTCAGTTTGGGATTATAACTAAACCTGAAGCAATGTCTGCAGCAGTTTTCCCTGTGTGTGTGTTTTTAGTTCCTGTGGGTACCAGGGAGCTCAACCATGTGCTCAGCACATACTTACTTGGTGCCAAGGAGGAAGAGTTCGCCATTCTGTGTCCTTGGCAGTATTTGTCATGAAGGATTTCTGTTTTGTTGGTACCTTGTCTTAATCTGTAATCCCTGATGAAGTACGCTGGGCACCTACCTGTTTTTATACTTGCCTTCTCTGTATTTTGTTTGAAAATGTTGAAATAGTGGCCTTGAACTCATGACCTCTCTGCTCTACCACCATGCCCAGCTTGCCACCTGTATTTCTTCGCTGTTGGTGTTTGTTCATTTTATAAACTGGATTGTTCTCTGATTATTCAATTTTAAGGTCCTCTTAATATATTTTGGACCAATAGTCTATCAGATTTTATCTTATTCTCTGGTCTGTTCTCTCATTGTTGACAGTTGCTCAAAGCTGAAGTTTTTTTTACTTTTAATAAAACCCTGCTTCTTACTTATTTTGTATATCATGCCTTTGGTGTTTAAAAAAAAGAGTATCACTACAGGGGATGTAGCTAAGTGGTTAGAGTACTGGCCTGGCATGTACAAGGTCCTGGGTTCAATTCTCAAGTGCCAACACACACATGATCATTTAATGTTTGTGCTACCTAGTAGTTTGTCTTGTTTTAGTTACATATGTTTATTGTGGCGGGATGTGTGAGCCATAGTATACATACACATTTGAAGGTCAGAAGACAACTTGTAGGAATTGGTCCTCTTCCTACCATGTGTTCCAGGGATCAGACTCGGGTGGTCAGACTTGGAGGTAAGCATGTGTTTTCACTGAACCAGCTTATGGCCTCTGTGTTGTGTTTTATATTGCGGTCTATAGCCCAGTTTCAGTTCATATTTATGAAGGATGTTAAGGTCTATGTGAAGGTTTGTTGGGTTTTTTTTTGAATGTGGATATTCAGTTATTCAAGATCATTCATTGAAAAGGCTGTCTTTGTGCCAGTCTAATTACATATTTATAATTATATAAATTTTATATAAAATGTAATTTTATATACTGTTGATGACCAAAGCAGCCTTATAGTAATTCTCAGTCAGGCCATAATTCTCAGTCACCGTTTGACTTGTTTGAGACAGTGGCTCACTATGTATCACTGGCTGGCCTGGAACTTGCCGTGTAGACCAGTCTGGCCCAAATTGATAGGGGTCCACGTGCCTCTGCCTTTGGAGTGCTGGGATTAAAGGTGTGCACCACACGTGGTATTCTTTTCTTTAAAAGTTGTGGTGGTGATTGTGGATCTCTTGCCTCTTAATGTAAACTTTAGAATTAATTTACTGAGATTCAAAAATAATTTGCTAGTTTTTCCTGGGATTGCATTGAGCCTGTGGATTCCATTGGTAAGAACTGATATGTTGTAATGATGCCACAGGGCTTTATATTGAGCCAATGAGCTTCTTTACGAGATGACACTGGTGTTAGCTGCCCATATCCCTGGGCACTTGAATTTGTACATTGATAATCAGACTTTAGCCAAGTAGATCACAGTGAGAGCCTCTCCTCTAAGCACTCAATGAGCAGGCTATCACATTCTGTTTTCTTGCTAAGCAGAGCGTTTTTGCTTGTCTGCCATGTATTCCTTTTTCCCCTCATGCTTTGATGGCATCACGGGAAACAGTTCAGATCTGCAAACTGTCCCTCTATCCCAGGTACTAAACTAGATGCAGTAACAGAAATACTGGCTTTTCTGCCATCCCATCAGGACCCACTTGGAGCCATCAAGGGTACCTAAACTATCACTACACTCCCAGCCCACTCACTCTAACAGTTTTCTCTGAAACATCACCCTAGGCAGACAGTTGTGGCCTTCCCTGCACCCCTGCCGTAGCCCCTCCATCTCACAGCCAAGCTGCCTCCTATGCCCTACAGGGGCAGATGAAAAAAAAAAAATCCCGTTTTCTGTCCTCAAGTATTGTGCTTAAAAGTCAATGAAGAAAAGACAAGAGTCTAGAGTGTATACATTGAGGTTAACATTACAGACGGCAGTCTCAGGACAAAGACAGTATTTGAAGAAATAATGCCTGAAGCTCTCCCAAGTCTATAAAAATTTCTTCAAGAAACACAAAGTCACAGCACTGAAAGATCAAGGCAGAAAAGACCAATCAATAACTAGATACTGATATATGGGTATTTACAGTGATTGACTTGAAGCACAGTTGTACCGCCTCTTGCCAAGCATGACTTCACTTGCTGCCTGGAAAAGAATGACCTGGAGAAATAGCTGAACCAATGGATCACTGCTCTTAACAACCTGACATCCCATCTTGTGGTTTTGGAGCATAAAATGAGAATTCAAACTGGACACAGCCCTGAGACCTTTCAGGAGCTGTCCTGGCATCTGCCCACTGATGACATCTCATCCACTCTCACTGGTGTTGGAGTGCTCATTCCAGAAAGATGCTAAACTCTTTAAGGGACTCTTACATGTGACAGTAGAGGCTGCAGAAGAAAAAGATCTTTAAAGCCACCAAAGAGTAGGTAAAGGGGTTTTCAGTAAGATCTATGTATGCTTACTGATCACAGACCACTGGCCAGGAGACAGTAGGATAACATTTTTAGAATGTTCAAAAAAAAAAAAAAAAGAAAAAGAAAAGAAAAGAAAAAGCAATATATCCAGCAAAACAGTCTCTTCAGAACAAAGAAAAACTAAACATTTCCTGGAGAGCAAAAGCTAAAGGTATAGGTGGTTCTGCATGTCCCCTGTGCAAGGCTAAAATGACTAGATAGTAACCTAAAGCTATACGATATAGAGATAGGTAGGTGAACAGGAGAGGAGGGGCGAGTCTACCAACCAGAGGCTGTATGGGGGCGGAGGCAAAAAGTGACTAGACTGGGCCAATGGCACACACCTTTAATTCCAGCACTCCAGAGGGCAGGTGGATCTGAGATCAAGGCCACTGATCTAAATAACCCTGTTCTTTATAAAGTGCCCAGCTAGAGAACACAGTAACCAATATGACTGCTCACATTTAATCCCAGCACTTGGTGGGTAGATGTGAGCCAAAGGCCAGTCAAGGCTCTCTTTGAGAAGTAGAGGACACATTTAGTCAGCTTTGAGTCAGTTGTGTTTTGGTAATTTTTCTCCTGATCCCTGTGTTTTTCTGGGTTAGTTCTTTAAATATTTCCCATCATCTCTTTACAAAAGTAAGTAAATGGGTTTAGGCTTGTATGTATTTTCTACAAGCACTTTCTCTCAGTTCAGAGCATCAACTTAACCTGCCACATTTTTGTGGCTTCCGAGTCTTAAGATTATTGGGTCAGAAGTAGCTCCATCTTTATCCACACCTGCTCCTCCAGCAAAGTCACTGACATGACTGGGTCAAGAGAGACTGCCATAGAGAGTAGCTGTACTGAAGGGCCTTGTGCCAGACAAGCACACCTACCAGGCTGTCTCCAGAATCTCTTAACTTCTACTCATAGAAGCAGAAGGTTGTCAGTTTTTAAAAAGCCAGTCTTTAGAGGTTATTTATTTATTTATTTGTGAGGCAGGGTTTGTAGCTTCGGAGCCTGTCCTGGAAACTAGCTCTTATAGACCAGGCTGGCTCCGAACTCCCAGAGATCCTCCTGCTTCTGCCTCCCGCGTGCTGGGATTAAAGGCATGTGCCACCACTGCCCGGCTGAGATTTAATTTTTACTCTTGGCAAACAACCCATTTCTTTCTTTTAAATATTCATTATTGTATCAATGATAACTATTTTGCCAAGTTTGGAGAAGTCTTCTCATATGTATGTGATGGCAAATCTTGGTTGTCTGTTTGACTACAGCTTAAGTCAGCTAAAACCCAGGTTGCTGGGCTGGCCTGAGGGATTTCCTTAGATTATCTGAAGCAGGAAGGACCACCCTAAATCTGTATCACACCTTCTGATGGGCAGCCCAAATAAAAAAAGATACAGAAGATGGCTTTGCTTCTTCCATGCGGGCTCCCTCTCACTGGCAAGTCCATGTCCCATCGCTGAGGCCAGTGTCATATCCAGTTTCTTCAGCATTCCAACACGCACTGAGGCCCAGCAGCTCTCCAAGAATTCTCTAGGACTCAGCCCCATATTGTGACTGCAGAGGTATCCAGCCTCATGGATGAACAACTAGATTCCTTCTAGTCACGAGACAGCCACTGTTGAACTGCAGGACTACAGCCTGTAAGCCAGGCTAATAAATTCCCCCTTAACCTATATATTGTTCGTTCTGTTTCTATGGAGCAGTCTGGGTAATTCATGTTAGAAATTCTTGGTAGTGTTTTAACTGAATCATTGTTTATCATGAGTTGAGCCTTGATATTTCAGTTCCAAATACTTATCTTCCATTCTGATCTCGATGGCTTTAGTTATATGTTACTCCATTTACTAACATTTGAAGCATGGTTTCTACTGAATGGCTATCACTTATGAAAATGATAAAATTGAAAAGTACAGTGGGGCAGCACCATTAGGGAACCATTTTTAGGTTACATTTATTTTATGTAGCGTTAAGTACATGCTCCTGCATGTGTGGATGCAAAGTCAGTGTTGGGAGTTTTCCTCAGTTGTTCTCTATCACTTCATTTTTAAATTTAAAAGCGTCTAAATAAAAAGTTATTATTTCATGTACATGTGTGTACTGTCTGCAGTGTGCATGCCAGATGCCTGTGGAAACTGGAACGATGACATCAGAGTGCCTGGATCTCAAGTTATGGACAGCCGCAGGCAACCATTTGGGCCGTCTGCACAAACAAGTGCTTTCTGGCCCCCATCTCTTCTTCCGATGTCAAGATACATCCAGTGTGTTTTGAATTACTTTCTGTCATGAGTATCTCACTGAACTTGAGGCTTAGCAGCTGGTTAGGCTGCAGAAAAGACTGCCATGTCCAAGTTTTTGTTTATGTTGGGACCTGAACTCATAGACACAGCTCTTTCCCCAGTCTCATAGTATTAATTTATTGCTACACTTTAAGAATGTATCTTCACATATTTACTTGGGTTTCTCAATTTGATGACATGTCAAATATTGGGAAACTGGTACCTCTGAATAACCAATTCTGTCACTAAACATTTTTCTGTGTCCTTCATATTAATTAGCATCTTTTGTTTTCTGATGTTCAGTGTCCTGTCACATTGTTTTTTTCCCCCAATGATGTAGTTCACAGACCGCTTTATGTTTTTTTATCATTATTGTTTTAATTGGCATGGGGTACGTGTGCCAAGGTTTATGTAAAATAGCCAGAGGACAACTGGAGTTGGTCTCCTTCCTACTCTAAAGGTGTTCTGAGAAGCACCTTCATGTAACCGCTGGACATCTCGCCACCTCTCACACTAACTTTCTAAATGCATCCTGCTGCATTTTAAGTTAAATGCAGATTTTTTCCCAAACCTGGTCATTCTGACATCACTTAGGCACTTTCCTATACTCTTCTTTGAATATGCTAAAGATTTCAGATTAGCTCATTCCAGAATCTCTAACTTTTCATGGGTATAG